TGCTAAGTACTCTTTAAAATACCAGAATAGGAAGGATGGAGTGGGTTTAAGTTTATTAGATTAATCAGTATTGCTGAACTATGAAATATTTTGGGTGCAGTGTATTTTTTTTTACATACAGGTATAACAGAATAGCTTTACTGTTGTTTATTTAAACTTGAGTATGAACTTATACAAAATGCAGCAAGATATATATATATAAAAAAAAAACAGTTTTAAAAAACACTATCAGATTCATATCGGTATTGGCCGATATCCAAATTTATGATATCGGTATAGTGTTATCATGCCATCTCTACTGGTTACACATGCTTTGTATATTTAATGGGAACAAGAAACAAGTCGTTTTGGATAACATGTTGAAGACTGTGGTTGAAGACTGTTGTCATTTGGACGCTCACCAAGCACACAGTGTTTGCTTGTCCCTTGTTCAGCATGCCTGCAGACAGTACACAGCTTCCCTTTTTGCTTGTTTTCTGACACAGTTATGTTAGTTTATGCAGTTGAAAACTCATGTGGATGTTGCTGGCACAAATAGTTATGTTTGTGAAAAACAACTTTAGTTTTCATAATGAGAAGAGTTTTACTTTTACTGCTGAATTAATTCCTTCAAGTTCACTGCTTGATTCCTGATTAACTTCAGTTATTCACTGGAATTATTTATTCAATTATTTTCCATTGTATCTTTAGAAAGTTTTGTTAGTTTTATTTGGTTCTATATGTTTACATTTAATTTAACTTGGCTTATATGAGGTAGCACTGGAGGTAGAGGATTGCAAGGTTGGTGGTTTGATCCCTGCTCCAGTCTGCATGCCAAATATCCTTGTGCAAGATACTAACCCTAAGTTGCTCTCAGAGTGTGACTGTGTGAATGTTAGAAAGCACAAAAGTGCTTGTGTGACTAGGTGAATGAGGCAAGTTGTGTAAAGCGCTTTAAGTGCTCAGAGTAGAAAAGCGCTATGTAAGAGAACAACATCTGGTAGCACACAGATTAATGTATTTACATCTTCTGTGAATAATACTGCTGTTCCCACTTCATCTACTGGAGGAAAATGGAGAAGCTACAAGAAAATCACAAGCCCAGACAGGACTCAGTAACCCGGGTCTGTGTGTGGGCTTCCATCACTGTTGCCTGAGCCTATCCTCTGCTGTTGTTCACAGGTCTGTGGTGCTGGCAGAAGGGCCGTGTAAACGGGGCTTGTAAAAGGACTCCACCGTGGTAAGAGTCACTGTTGCCCTTTTGAACATCTTAAAGCATGTTTACCTGAGGATCACCTGACACAAACACCTGATAACCTTGTGTTTACACTGATCTGTTCTTTATTTAGTACCCTGCATGTCTTTTTTCCTTTTGCACTCACTGTGCTCACCTTCTTTTTCTGCTCCCTCCTCAGGTTGGTCGTAGTGTATAGAGAGGAGCCCACTCAGCCCTCCAGGCTCCTCAGCCATGGCTCTGCTGGCCTATCTGAAGAGCCTGTTCATCTTGCAGTTGCTGATGGGCTTTGTGTTTGTGGTGAGCGGCCTCATTATAAACTTCATTCAGCTGTGCACCTGCATCCTCTGGCCGATCAACAGGCAGCTCTATCGCAGAATCAACTGCCGGCTCTCCTACTCCCTCTGGAGCCGTGAGTATAGATGATTCTCATGTGTTGCTGCAGGTTTATGTAGAAATGCTAATTGTCTTTTAAATATGTAAACAAGAAAAGGTGTCAAGTGTCGATTCTGAAATTCACAGATTGCAAATAATTACAAATCTGGCAATAGTGTCACATACAATGAGCTGTGTTTGGGCCATCTGTTGGATATTATGCTGTCTACATAGAAAGGGTTTCAGCTGCATTTTCCACTTGAATGTTTGAAACACTTTCTGTGTAGAAGGGCTTTATATTCAGTCTCCTTTTAGCTAAATTAAATGAGTCCTAAGCAGCTACAGCCTCCACAATTTTCACCAGTTACTCATTAAAATTGTCTGTCAGCTGCTTTCTAGAGTCAGCTTTTTGCTGTTAATGACTTCAGCGGCTTTTATTAACCCTATGACAGACATTAAATGTGAGTAATTATCTAAAATTACACGAATCCTAAACGCACAAAGATTTGCTGATAATTCTCTGCAGTGTTGGTAGACTGTTTTGAGGGATTAATATAAATATAATGTAACCCAAATATACTGCCATTTAGTACATTGTGTATGGTTTACACTGAAAATGCTCCAAGTGATGAATTTTCTCCTCTAACTTTCTAATGTTCCTGCTGCGTCATCGTCACTGTGCAGAGCTGGTGATGCTGCTGGAGTGGTGGTCGGGCACAGAATGCACCCTATACACCGATCAGGCTACGGTGGACAAGTTTGGCAAGGAGCATGTCATCATCATCCTCAACCACAACTTTGAGATTGACTTTCTGTGTGGATGGACCATGTGTGAAAGATATGGCGTTTTAGGGGTCAGTTGAGCACCACACTTTAAATGATTAACATTTATCAACAGTATTTGCTTTTTTCTTAAGAGTGAAGTCAGAGTTGTATAAAAATGTCTTTCCTCCTTCTTTAGAGTTCAAAAGTGCTAGCCAAACATGAGCTCCTGAAGGTCCCTCTAATTGGCTGGACGTGGTACTTTCTAGAAATTGTTTTCTGCAAAAGAAAGTGGGAAGAGGACCGAAACACTGTCTTCAAAGGCCTAGACAGGCTCAAAGACTATCCTGAATATATGTGGGTAGGTACAGTCACAGTTTGTCTGTCGCCTGGACTGTGGTTTAGGTGTAAAAGTTCATCTTACAGACAACCACTTGTGTCTCAATTGCAACCCAGTTGCTCAATCAAGATTGTGAAATATCCTCTTCAAGATACATAAGTGTTGTGATTCTAACAGTTCAGACAAGGTTGTAAATTCTTTTAAGTTAAACCAGTCGTTGCATCAACTGTCACCTGCAAATTGAGTAATCACTGCACAGCCAAACTAAGATAAGATGGAACATGCATAACAAAACATTTCTAGACTTTTAAAGGGAATGATCTATAATCTATCTGATGCTGTAGTTTCTGCCCTTTGCCCCAGTTTCTCTTTCTACTGAATTTATCTTGGCAGTGATACACGAATAGTTCTGAGTACAGCAGCGTTATTTGAAGGGCCTCAACATGAGTTTGTATGTTTGTTTTTTTTCTGTCAGACATCATGAACACAAGTATCCACTGTGCGTAAATAGACTGAATAGACATTCATTATGCTTCAGACCACAAATGCCTCTTTTGTCTTTAAAATAAATAAATAAAATGTACATTTTCTCTACATCCATCATGTTTTACCTGGTGACAGCTTAGGCCTAGAGTAAAAAGCAGGATTTGGGTTTAGCAAGGAATTCCACGTTGGTTTTTTTTGTTGTTTTTTTTTCCGTATTTCCATGGTTTGGGTGGTTTTGGTAAATGCAGAAGGTCCTGCTTGTGCAGAGCCACTCTGTGGCTTCCCTAACGACCACAAATTAGCGATACAGTTGAGGAAACAAATGCCTTCCTTGTTTCATCTTCAAATTACTTTTGTTGTTCGATATGGCTTTGTATAGCTACATAATACTTGGTGATGTGAAATAAGATTTGCAAATCAGCCAATGAGTATTAATTATCTTTGTTTTTTTTTACCTGGCTCTTCACACCGTTTAACACTGTCAGGGTTGCAGCTGAAAGAAAATTGTCTTACACAATATAGTAATTCCAGTCAGATCTGCGCCTGCCTTCATTAAGGAGGAATGCTATTGACAAGTCTATAAACTTATAAAGATCTAATGTTTTCAACTGCATCTACTGTAATACTGGCTGCAGTAACATAGCTGCACCTTCAAGATTATAGTTTGCTGTTAGCTATGATGATTATCTTGTGCCAAAAACTGCACGTTTTGGACAGATTCAGAAAACCCAGACTGACACAACAAGTTGATGGCACAAACGGGTATCCTGAGTTGACTGTATTTTAGCGTACTGTTAAATTGAGTTGACCTTGATTTGTACTCCAGCTAACAGAAGTAGGGTAGTGGATGGGTCAGGATAAAAGAGGTCACCTTAAGCTGGAGATTTTTTTTTTTTTTTTTTTT